CTCGGGGAGTGCAGTCCTGTAAATGTAAAACTCAGTTCACATGGTTCCTCAGTGTGACAGTCGGTGTCTGAGCTAGCGTCAGGGTTAAGGCAACAACCGATAGCCCTTCACTTTGAGCTATCCAGAAATCGAAATGTGCTACAGAGAAGAAAACTGATCAATGAATTGTGATCTCGTAGTGGCTGTATTCAATGTGTGTGGAAAATCCTTCCCATTCCCACAGAATTCCCCTTGACATAACCTATTTCGTGTTCTGTTCGATTATTGTATGTTTTCATACACACATGAAACCATAGTGGTCTGACTTGGTACTCGGACTCGAGGTTTGCGCCAATAGTCTCGATTCTATGTTTGTCTTCTTTTCTGCTATTCAGTGCATGAGCAGAAAGGGAAGTTCATGGAAAACGGGTGCGGGTTCTAATATGGTGCCGCTGGTTTGTGGCTGCATGCATCGAGAGAAAAGAGAGGTAAACAATGTAGGACAGAATAAATTTCTACACTAGATGGTGGTTGAACTCGATCAAGTCAATTACAATATCTCCTACAAGGGAATAGACAGTCTGTGCCATGATCTCGATGTTATTTACAACAAAACCAGAACTAATTTGTCCACCCTTTGGAGTGAACTTTGAACGCAAGCAACTTTCGCAGCAGGATATCGCACGAAGACGCTCTCATAGCAGTCAACAAACCGGTAGCAATTGAACCCGAACAGCCGTTAACTGGAAACAAATATCGGGTTGATGACTCAAACAGAATCGGCCCAAGAACAATTTCAATGTTTGAAACACGTGTTGACTTCGACTCTGTAACAACGTTTCCGACGGCGAGTAACCTAAATGCCGCAAACATGGTGGAGGTGCAAACTATCACAGTCTAATCACTCCAGTAATAGACACTGGAAGCGTATATCGTGTCCAGCAGGGAAACATCGTCCGGTGGCACTCCTATCAAATGACTCGGCGCTCCCGAAACGAACCACATTCAACACCACTTGGCATACGCATATGCCATTTGTCTACCAATTTACTGTCTCACACGCTAAATCCCATTCCAAACTAACGCCCGAGTCCATGGCAAACCAGAAAGTCGTTCATCGCACTGCACATGCATTTGAGAAACTGGGCAAGGGAACACACCGCTCCAGGAACGGAGTCGAGTAGAGGCGACAAACGGTCCAATAACGTTATATTGACAAACAAGACGACATTTTGGAGCCACGGTGAAACGCCGTTAGAATAAAAAGTGATAAAAATGTTATCAAAAGATGTAAATGCTCAAGAGATATAAAATGCTGTCGTTCATTCTTTGGATTCCTCGGCTGCATCCGCTTCTGTTGTTTCTTCTTTTGGCGAATCTACAGCATCAAGATAGTCGTTCACCACTTGTGAATTAGCTTTACTCACCTTCTTTATCACCATTACTCCCGTTTACTCCAGCCCCGTCGTCTTCCTCTTCTTCGGACTCGTGCTCCCCATTATCCTCTTCGCCTACAATTGAAACATTCAAAGTTAACATTAGCGAACTCCAAAACCACACAGTGGGAGTTCAAGACTACCCAAACTGTCTTTCCTACCGTGAACATAACGTACGAAATCGTTAGGTACATGAAAGTCAACAAATCGCAAACATGCTACCGACAACGCAATTCTAATAACACACATCACGAACCTTTACAGCATGATACGAACAACAAGACAGTCCGAAACACAGCACTTACCATCAGCAGCAGCTTCATCACCATTTTTTTCAGCCTCGACTTCTGCTTCCTTGTCACCGGATTCATCAGCCTTGGCTGGAACAGTTGTCGGTGAGGATATAACGACGTCCTTACTTTCAGCTTCAGCCACTTCCTTCTCAACTAATTATTCGGGAATTGAGGGAAATACATGAAACATCGCTTACCTGATTCCGTCAATTTGGCTTTCTTTACAACGGGCTCCTCTTTCCCATTCTTTTCGGGCGCTTCAATTTCGGTGGCGTCACCTTTGGACTTCCGTTTCAATTCCTCAGCCTTGGATTCGTGCTTGCTCGGGGACTAGAATCATAATATAATTACCGTTAAGAAGACTCACAGTAGCAACAGCGGCAGCAGCGTCAACGGAATCCATCGTAGAAGCACGTAATGGTTTTCAAAGTGGCGGTTGGGAGGATATGCGCCATATCTACTCACGCGTAAAGCACAGTAAAACAAATTCAGGGTCGTTTAGTTCCTGTCGTGGAATGAGCATGGAAACAATCGTGAGGCCTTGGAAACAAAATCGTTTATGAAAGCTCCCACCTTCATCACATCAGATCAGGTTGTCACTTTGAAACCCAGCTGCCTCACTGTGCTACGACAGCTCAATATTCTCCGTTGACTTTCTATCCGTCTTAAAGTGTGCATAAGGGAACATTGGTTACGTATCCGGACACGATAGGACACAAATTGCCGCTGCAAACAAACCACTCTCAGTTGCAACTGAGGCCAACCCATTTAACCAACATGGTGATTTGGTTGTGGCAATGGTTACCTCACACGGTGGTAAGCTGTAATGTGACAGATGCTTTCAAAAAGCATTACATCAGCGTTGGACGTTGATATTCCCAGAGGCAAACGTTATTCTTTTCTATCTATTTGAACTTATCATCGAAATATGTGATACAGCACCACATAATTCTGCCCTTCGGAAAAATGGAATATTAAAATGCGAATGAATATTGAAGTGTTGGAAGACATGTAAATTCGCCGACAGCTCACAAATCTGGACGCTCGACTGGTAGTAACCACAAATCTACCTGTGAGCATTCAGATAAACGGAAATGAATGTCAAACAACGTTCTAGGGCGATAGGAAGTTAGGAAATATCAAGGCAGGTAGCATAAATTGCGGTGGAGCCAGAAGCAGTCCAGTTTGTTGCGCCTGTGAGCTTCAGAGCATCATAGCGCTGCAACGATTTTAGTATTCCTTTCCCTTGAGCCTCGGGGAGTGCAGTCCTGTAAATGTAAAACTCAGTTCACATGGTTCCTCAGTGTGACAGTCGGTGTCTGAGCTAGCGTCAGGGTTAAGGCAACAACCGATAGCCCTTCACTTTGAGCTATCCAGAAATCGAAATGTGCTACAGAGAAGAAAACTGATCAATGAATTGTGATCTCGTAGTGGCTGTATTCAATGTGTGTGGAAAATCCTTCCCATTCCCACAGAATTCCCCTTGACATAACCTATTTCGTGTTCTGTTCGATTATTGTATGTTTTCATACACACATGAAACCATAGTGGTCTGACTTGGTACTCGGACTCGAGGTTTGCGCCAATAGTCTCGATTCTATGTTTGTCTTCTTTTCTGCTATTCAGTGCATGAGCAGAAAGGGAAGTTCATGGAAAACGGGTGCGGGTTCTAATATGGTGCCGCTGGTTTGTGGCTGCATGCATCGAGAGAAAAGAGAGGTAAACAATGTAGGACAGAATAAATTTCTACACTAGATGGTGGTTGAACTCGATCAAGTCAATTACAATATCTCCTACAAGGGAATAGACAGTCTGTGCCATGATCT